CTCTACTTCACATAAAAATAATTGTAAACTCTAAAAAACATAATATCTGGGGGAAAAAAAAAGGCGACAAAAATCCTCAATTCAAAAACATCCTTCCCATCAACGCCTGAACCGAGAGCCGTAACACGCAAGAAGTTCACCACACACCGACTGCAAAAAATTAAAACCACATAATAAATTCCTAAAAAAAACACCTCAGAGCCACGACGTAAAAGAAATGTCAATAATTAAAACCCGAGCTCCCGGCAGGAAAGCGGCTCCTCCGGCGGCTCCTCCGGCCGGGGCCAGCGCCGCCTCTGCCGCCCGGCAGGGCACGGCACGGCTCGGCTCGGCCCCTCAGCTCAAACCCTTCAAAAGGAGGGACAACAGCGCTGCCCCCTCCATTTAAACCTAAGGGTGACGGAAATGGGGGGGCAAACTCCAAATCAAACCCTTAATGCGACAACGTTTTTCCCCTTCCATTTAGGATAGAGCACAGGGGCTTCCCTACCACCCCTAACAGACTGGAAAAGGCAGGTTTTTCCTTCAAATCAATACCCAGAAAATCGCAAGTGGAGGAGGAACACCCCAGTTCCAACACAGGCAGTAATCGAAGAGGAGTTGCTTCCCTCTTTTTAATATTTTTTCCCTCATAACACCCCCTCCTTCTTTATCATTTCTTTTGCTCTCATAACCGCACCTCCTTTTTTTTTTTTTTTTTTTTTCCTCCCAAACCCCCCCCCCTTTTTTTTTTTTTTTTTTTTTCCTTTTTTTTTTCCTGGGGGCACCGGGGAGGGATTGGCAAGATGAAATCGAAAAGGGGAAGGAGAAAAGTCCCCGCCACGAATCCACACGAGCTCACCTGTCCGGCTGCTGCTTCCCGGCACGAAGCTCTGTCCCTCGGCACCTCCCTTCAGCAATGCTCCAAGCGCGTATCCAGGTGTTCCCCCAGACCCTCCAAGAAGCTTCCCGTCCTTCCACAGGACAGCCCCGGGAGCCCCCAACAAACCCCTCTGCTCAGCAACTCCGGGAAAAAGGGAGCTGAGGGAAACCTTCCCCTAAAACAGCCTCCCTCCGGCAGGAGCCGCCCCCTCCTCATCCTCACACCTGGGGCTGCTCTGAGCCCTCCTCATCTTCACAGCTCACACCTGGGGCTGCTCTGAGCCATCCTCACCCTCACAGCTCATGCCTGGCGCTGTTGCCACGCTCCAACATCGTCTCTCCCTCTCCCAGACACAGCCCACTTCTCACAGTCCAGACAGAAATCTGCTGTGTCTGTTGGTTTTCCTGAGTCCGCCTGGTTACACCATTAAAACACGGACACGCAGCCATGGTTTGGTTCGGCTCTTCGTCTAAACTCGGCTGGTTTCGGCTGAACCCGGTTCGGTTCAAGCCGGTCATATTCGGCACTTCGGATGAACTCGGCTACACTCGGTTACAGTCGGCTATTGTTGTCTAAACTCGGCTATTGTCGGCCCTTCGGCTAAACTCGGCTATTATCCGCACAACTCTGCTATTCTCAGCTATCATGGCCTCTTCGGGTACACTCGGCCATTATCAGCTAACCTGGATTTGCCCGCCCTTTTTGCCGCTGTCTTGAGAAGGTCAAGCGAGTCCGCGACACGCCACGCCCAAGATGGCGGCCACGAGGGGACCTCGGCAAAGTGAGGCATCAATTCTAAAGCCTGTCGCCGGCCGTGCAAAACGTGCCCGCCCGCGGCGTTTTTGAGCCCACAGCCCGTGTCTACTGTACTGGAAACGCCACAGAAAATTTTGCCGGAGCTGCGCCGACGTTGGTGTGCCGTGCAGGCAGCTCATTAGACAGCCCGTGGTCCTCGATTTTCCCGCTTTTTTGCCGCCAGCTTGAGAAGGTCAAGCGAGGCCGCAATGAGCCACTTTCAAGATGGCCGCCACTGCAGGACCTCGGCAGGGAGAGGTATCTATACTAAAGCCTGTCCACGCTCCCCAAAAACACGCCCATCTGCGGCGCCGCTGAGTCCACAACCCGTGTGCACGGCACAGGAAACGCCACAGAAAATCCCACCTGGGTTGCGCCGGCGTCGGTGTGCCGTGCAGGCGGTCCAGTAGACGGGCTGGGGTCCTCGATTTTCCCGCCCTTTTGTCGCCACCTTGAGAAGGTCAAGCGAGTCCGCGAAACGCCACTCCCAAGATGGCGGCTGAGAGAGGTCTTCAGCCAACTGTGGTGTTTAGGCCGATGCCTGTCAGAAACGCGCCCGCCCGCGGCGCTGCTGATTATATATTTCTAGATTTAGATTTATATTATGTGCTTATATTATTTTAAATAAAATCCCCTGCCTCTACCCACATAAAAACCAAAAAAAACCCCTTTATTTGAAACTGTATTTCAATTTTTAAAGTTATAGTCTTCATATTTATATTCACGTTTACATTTAAAATGTATTTTGTTGTATAGTGTTATTTATATTCTGCATTACATCTCTTCCTATTACTTATATTTATTCACATTTTGTATTTATATATATCTTTATATACTGATTGTATATTTCTATATTTAGAACCATATAAAAATAATATGCATATTCATATTATTAAAAATAAAACCCCTTCCTCTAACCAAATAAAAACAAAAAAAGCCCGTTGTTTTAAACTATATTTAAATATTTTTATATTTATATTTTTCATAATTATATTCACATTTGCATTTATCATTTATATTGATGTATTATATTTATAAATACATATAATATACACCATAATGTAATAATAAAAATTTTTCTTTATATGTCATATGTACTGCTAATATTTATATTTATGTAGTTTTTTAATTTTTATATATATCCTTATGTATATATTTCTATACTTAGATTTTTACCTGTATTTTATTTATAATTTTTATAATAAAAACCCTGCCTATTACCAAATAAAAAACTCCCCCTTTTTAAACTGAATTTAAATATTTTTTCATTTATATTTTTATATTCACATGCACAACTGGTTATATATATTATATTATGATACATTGATGCACTATATTTGTATATATATATAATATATATGAATATACTATAATATAATAAGATATATACAGTATGATTTGTATTACGTATTGTATAGATTTCTATTATTTTGTATTTATATATAAATAAATATATATAAATAAATGTCTATATCATATTTTATATGCAATTTTATTTATATTTACAATCTATATTTAGATGTATTTATATAAACATATTAAATACTCTGTATTAAACATTATAATATTATTGATGTTTATATGCATTCTGTTTATATTTAAAATTTAAGTTTTATATTCCCATTTCTATACTTATATATTTGGTTTTTTAAATTTTAGTTACAATTTTGCATTGAAAATCTAATTCCCAAAAATAAAATGACAAAACAAACAACACCAAATTCCCACCAATATTGTCAAAAAAAAAAAAAAATAGCTCCACCAGCCAACCAACTACTGGCAAAAAACCAGCACACTATGCTCTTTTCAATAAAATTCTTATCACATCACAAATGAAACAAAAATAAAAAACAACCCTAAAGAAACCCACACAGCAAACCACAAAATCTAGTAAATAAAAATAAACCAAAGCAACTTAATGAACTCAAAACCATACAACTGACCCCAAACGTTACTAAAGAAATAACCAGAACTCTACCTCACACTAGTTCATAAAGAGTAACCAATACTCTGTAAAATAACCAAAAATAACCACCAGACTAATTAATGATTTAAAAATCCTACACTACTAAAAAGCAAAAAAATCACGACCCCGAAAAATCTTCCTTAAAAAATCAACCATATAAATACCAGTGTTCCCAAAAATAAAACTAATAAAAAACAACCACCAAATAAATCAAGCTATAAAAATATCACAGATAAATTAATTATAACAAAAAAGTCATTCCTAACTCAATAAACCCATAATGCCTCAAACCATCAAAACAAAAATACCTCCTAGAAATAAGCACGAAGCCTAAAGATAAATGTAACCATAGACAATATATCCTGAATTATCCGTAACAATAAGACATACGCTACAATTAAACAATCCAAATAAATAAAACCCCGGTAATATAGTAAAGAAAAACGTGATTATAAATACTAATTAACTACACATGACAGTAACTCAGACTCACCAAGACAAACACTGCATACTGACATTAATAAAAGCACCACATCATCACTAAAAACCTAACCTCTACTTCATGCTACGGCCCATAAAATCCACTGTAAACCTGAAAAAAAAAATCCTTTAAAAACATAACACCCAGGCAGAGGGAGGACACAGTAAGAAAAGGAAGAACGAGGTGCAGGAGGAAATTGGAAACCCTCCACCAAAAAGAAAAAAAAATGGGATGGGCAGTATGACAGAGAGGAAATAAAAAAGAACAGGAACGGGGAATGGGACACAAGGATCCCACGAGGAACAATGGCACAGGGAAAATAAAAAAGGAGCATGAGTGAGGCAGGGAGAAGGACAGAGAAAAAGACAGAGTGCCAAACACCAGGCAGGGACAGAGGGATGCAGGGACACAGAGGGCAAGATGCTTCTCCTGCAGCCACTACACAAGTGCAGCTGCCCTGCAATTTCATGCTCAGTGTCTCTTCCAAGGTGAACAAACAGGTACCCCCAGCATCTCCTTCCTTTAGGCAGCACAGACCCAGCAGGAGAACCTGGAATGCAAGGATGGATCTAAACATGGGAGTCCCACTTGCTACTCTGTCCACCTTTTCTCCAGCTTAGCCCTGGGCTGGGAAACAAAAGACAACAAACATTTAAAAACTGAACTTGAGGTGTCCTGATGATGCCCAGCCTGGGAGAAAGCCCTTCCCACCAGCCTCTTGGCATTTTCCCACTCTGAGAAACCGTGGAAATGCACATCCAGACCCGGGGCGGGCAGCCTGGGATGTTTTCTGCACACAAACACCACAGCCCCGAGCACCAGAAGCCTGAACAGACTCTCCCAGGCAGCCTCAAATGTTCTTGGAAACGCCCAAGTGCCACACAGGAAAACAGAGATTTTCATTTTAAAGTCATTTTATTTTCCGCTTTTCCAGAATTCCGAGCACAATGTCCACATTCCTGGAGGAAAACAATACAGACCAGCAGTGAAACACTGCGGGTACACCTGCCCTTTGGAGCTCCCCTGCAGTCCTGGCAGTTCATCCTTGCACTGACAGAGAAAACAGCATGGTTTGAAGAATGCTGAGATGAAGGAGGATACACTAGGAGGGCCGTGGATATAAAATAAATTAGAAGCATCTGTAAAAGTTTCTTTCCATATACAAAATAATTTTTATTTTTGGGGGGTGATTTTCACTTTTTAAAATTGACAGTCTGTACACAGATAAACCTTTCCCCAGAAATCACTTAAAATGCTGGTTTTACAAGGAAAAAGGAGCCACTGAACAACCCATCCTGCAAACTCACAAGCCTCTGCTCAGCTGAGGGTGCCAATCTTTGGGGCCAGCCCTGCCCCAGGAGTGACACCCTGCTGCTGCAGAGTGCAGGGCCCCCAGAGTATGGAAGAGTGAATCACCACTAAATCACCACTTTTTGCCAGCTAAATCAGAGCACTGAGTGCCCCGTCTGATCCTTTCCTGAACAGCTCCGAGCAGGGTGACTCCAGCACCTCCCACTGCCTGACCATCTCTCCATGCAGAAATTCTTCCTCAAGCCCAGCCTGACCCGCTCCTGGTGCAGCTTGAGGCTGTGATCTCTGCTCCTGTCACTTGTCACCTGGGAGAAGAGGCCACTGCACAACCTGGCCACAGCACCCTTGCAGGCAGACAGCCCACAGGTTTTGGAAGAGCATTCCAGAACTCATGACACCTCACTGAGCGTGGTATCCATGGCAGAAGTCAGAGTGATGCCCTCAGCAGTGCTGCTTGGAGCTCCCAAGAGCTGAAGCACAGAGCACGTGTCAGTGCAAAGGAACCCACACACAAGGTGGATAACCTCTTACCAAGGAGGTGCACGGCCACGAGGATGTCAGATTGGTTTTGCTGCCTTGCTGTACTACTCTAAAACCTAAGGCAAGAAACTCAGCTTTAAAATGAAGACTACTGCATTTCTAACCTCTCCCCACCATTAGAACAGAGATAAGAAGTACCAGCCTGTGCTGCTTCCAAACTCTTGTACGAAAATAGATCACTATGTCCCTTTGGGCAGTCTCAAAAATCTGCAGGTTCTTCTTTCAGCTCTTGCTTCCAACAGGTACAGTCAGGTCCCACTGCCAAGTCCCGTGTCTTGGTCAGAATCACGGACAAAGGAAGTTTGTGTTCACCCTCCTTGGAATGACTGCTTGCAATCCATCCTGCTCCCACTCTGACTGACTGGAAATCTTTACATTTTCTCTTTCTTGTCCAAAGGAAATGCATTGGCAGTGCAAACACGAAGCAGGTGTGATGAGACTCCTGCCCACCCCCTTCCCCGGGCAGCCAGCCATCACCCTGGCAGGGCCCAAAGGCCACCCAAGGCGTTATCTGCACGCACAGGACTCCACTGTCATGTTGGGGTACACCTTCAGAACCACGTTCTTGTTCTCATCAAAGAACAAGATACTGAGAGAAGACATTTTGTCAGGAACACAGCAAGGCTCGGGAATGCCGGGGACGACTCCGACGGCTCTCACAATGCTCTGGATGGTGGCGTGGTTGGATGGCTTCATGGCCTGCAAGAGACAGACACGGCAGAACATGTTACTGACCCAAAATGCCATGGATTATAATAAAATTGCTTCGCTGAAGGGCCCTGTTGAGACCTGCACTGCTGAGGAAGGAGCCTCCAAGACAGCTGTGCCTCATACTAAAGTGACATTTTCCTCAGGGAAGAAACTTCAAAGGACAAAATTTCCTACATTTATAAAAAGGGACACACTTTTTATAGGTTTGCTCTGAACAGAAAGCAAATCTGCCTGGTAAGGTAACTGCACCCTGAAATGCTTCCTGATCCAAGTACCTGTACAAGAGAGAGCTGGGTATGAAAAATGCACACAATACAGCTTTTTCTTTGGTTTTTAGAGTTGTTCTTACACACACAATCTGGGAATCAAAACAGTTCAGTGTGTATCCCATCATATGTCCCTGGGAAATACACAGAACCAGGTCGTTTTGGCCAAATGTTCAATTTGCAGTGTTGCTGCAATGAGAGATTATTTGGTTCTGGGAAAAAGTCAGTCTTAAGGGTTAGATATGGACCTGCAAAAAGAGCAGGAATAACTGTGAATTCCAGCTCATCATCTCGTTTGCTCAGCACATTAGTGCATGAAGTTGTAAGTCCCCATCTAAGCTGATCAAAGACATTTCTGTTGGTTTGTTTGGAATTCAAGAGTACCTATACTCCTCAGCAGCAGCAGCCAGGATTTAAAAACAAGTTTTGGATTATCATACAACTCAGATTTCTGCATAATTTCTGTCTTCAAAGGGAAGTGAAAGCTCTGGTAGCACCCAGTCATGTTTCCTTACTCAGCTGCTGGGCAGCATTCTCCCCAAAATAACTGGGAGCCAGCAGCTGGGAGCCTGCTGGTCACAAGCCAAAAGGCAGAACACCAGTGCCCTGCGGAGTGTCACTGAAGCTAGACAAGTCTTCTCCTCCTCCCAGGAGAGGAACCCAGCTTGCTTTGTCTGGGTGCCATCCCCTTTGGTGCAATTCTTCCACCCATCACTTTCCAAGGGAGACTCCCTTGGCTCCTTAAGCCACTGAAATGCCACATATATTTTGGAACCAACTGCTCTGGCTTCACTGTGGCAGGACCAAAGACTCTGGAATGAAATGCTGCAGTGAGTCCAAGAGCCCTGCCTTGACTGATGTTTCCTGCAGCTGTTACTTGTGCATACTCCTCGTTTTAGGCCAGCCTCAAATCCCATGTCCTACTCCCAGGTCTAGGCAGCCTCCAGGACTCACTAAGAATGTTGCTAAGAATGACACTGGACATGTGGAGCAGAGTTCATCTATCCAGGTTACAGGGCTAGGAGCACATCAGCCTCCCCTGCCAACCAGCTCATACAAACTATGGGATATTTTGAAAGTGAGCGGGACTGGATCCACTGGTTTTGGATCCCCTGGGTCCAGTGAACCAGAAGTGATTCACTCGACTCTGTGGCACCCCAACCACACCTGGCAGTGCCCGGAGCTGGAGCTCCCTGCCCTTGGGGCAGCCTTGCCACTCCCTGTGGAGGGCCTCTGGGCTCCTTTTGGGCACAACAAGTGCTGCCTACCAAACAGTTTTCCAGATCTGGCTTGCATCGCTGGCTGCCTTTTACGGCCTTTTGTGGGAAACAAAATGCCCAGTTTATGGTAACAGACAGTGAAAAAGCATCACTCATACCTTTGGAATTGGGAATTGGCATTCTCCTGAGCAGTAATAGGCATCAAAGGACTTTGGGGAAATAATCCACTCGCTCCAGCCGATGTCTGCAAAATCCACCTTGAGGTAGCGCCGGGCGCAACTCCTCGGCTCGTTCCACTGCTTCCTCCTGGCCTTCTTCAGTGTCTGCTCATCAAACTGCAGAGTCTGGCTCTTGTGCACGTGACTCTTCCTCTGCTTCTTCTTACTCCTGGCCCTGTCTGCCAGCTGTGGCTGGAAGGCCTTGTAGGGCTTGGTGGCCTCCCAGCTGTGCTCCTCGCCATACTGGTACTTGGCTCCCGGCAGCTCGTTGTTCTGCAGAGGCAGCAGGGCGCCTGCGGAGCGCTTCCTCCGCTGGATGTTGGTGCTGCTCCTCCTGTGGCCCTCTGGCTTGGGAAGGACCCTGGCCAGAGGGTGACGGTGGCCTCGCAAGGTGGAGACGACGCTCTCTGGCTCCGAGATAGCGGAATCATTGGCGTAAATCAGGATGTAGGGCTCGTAGGAGGAAGATGCCCTTTCCCAGGCATGGCGGCCAGGCAGATCCATTTTAACACTGAGCAGCATCTCGTTGTTTCGCTTTGCTTCGTGCAGGAGCCGAGTGATATCCTTCCACTGCCAGGAAAGGACATCCTGGTAGGCAGAGGAGACATTTATGAGGAAATGTCCCAGGCTGCGAGTCGGGTTCCCAGCTGAAGGAAAGGTCCAAACCGAAAGACGTATCTGAATTTCAGGTGGCCTGTGCCGGTGATGAGAACAGCCACTGGGCTGGGAACAGTTCCACTCCACGTGCAGCAGATCACCAACATAATAATACACCGAAGCTGACAGGACATTTTCAGACTCCGTGAGTGATGTCAGGTTAAAAACGTACATCTCCTGGCCCTCGGGGCTCCCTAGAAAAAGAATTAATCACGTAAGAATATGGGCATCTAAAAATGTCATCCAGAGGGGACACATGGCTGCTCTGACAGCCTTTTAGCTAAATCAGACACTACTCATGCCTGAAGTTTCCCTCTAGAACAGTCAGCCACACTAGGTACATTTAGTCATTCCATCTTGGACACTTCATCAATTTTCATGCCAGAGTTAGAAGGTATTTACTAATACAGCTGAAGACAGGCAGATAGTCTAGAACAACCCTGGTAGCCCAAACAAAGCCAATCCAAAAACCAGATTTGAGGGCTCGTGGGGTGGAACACGTGGGGGACTCTAACGCCCCCAAAGGTGCAACAGCAAGGCTCAAGAGGAAGGTGTAATTTTTCTTTTAAAATTCCCTGTGGGCTGCAGTTATGTCCATCCTTCAGAGAAAGAGAAATACAGATTGGAATGTCAAGCTGTAAAACCAGACTGGGAGGGAAAACTCAAATACAGTGTAGCTAAGGTATGGTCTGCAACCCCGCCCAAAGGACTGGAAACATCCTGACCCATTAGGGAAATGCAGAATGAAATGCTTTTTGGACACCACAGCATGTGAAAAGCCTCTCCAAAGGGTCAGTCCAAGCAATGACAAGCACAGAGATGGCCACAGACTAGGGATGACCAGCCACACCACTCCCACCCTCCACACAAGGTCGGAAGTCCCTTGCCCAGGCAATTGAAAACATAATTTTCAGTACTCATCTTACACAGACATTGACAAATTCACGTTCTGTGTGATGTTCAGTGCCTCCAGCCTGTAGCATCCCAATGGCCAGTGCCATTCAGGTAAGTGTGGCAAAAGCCTGGGCTCTCCCTGTGCTACCCCATCCCTACCCCAGCAATCCAAGCAGCTTCCTCCTCTTCTGAACATTTTTGTGTCATAGTATTCCAATCATTACATTAAAAAAGCAGGAAGAAAGAAAGAACCCCTTCTCCCCAACTTAGCAGATGTACTGCTTCATGGAAATTATGGAAAAAACCTGCACATCTTCTTCAGTGGAAAAGGGCCAAAACAGTGGAAAGGCCAAATCATCTAAGGAATCATCTTTGTTTAAACATTCAGCCTAATCTGACAGCAGAGCACATAGATAACTTAGCAAGTGCTGAAAACTCAGGTACCACTATTATTGCAGATGCCTAGGGAGCCAGATTTACCTGGAATCCCATCCTGATTTGTATTCCTCAAGCCAAAACCAGCCCTTGATTACACTTGTACTAGGCACCTTTTAAGAAGCTATTATTTCAATCACTTCTGTATGTTGAAGGACAAGTTTTGATCTTAATTCTCATTACCAATGCCACTTAAAAAGGCTCGCCTGTTCTAAACTGGCATATTGTATTGGAAGACAAAAGAAGCTGCTTTTGTTCATCCAGAAATTCTGGACAGCATGGGGCAGACACAGAGGGGTCTATAATTTTGGTTAAAAGCTAAATTCCAGCCTGCCAAGACGAAGCACTTGCAGTAGATGGTGCTGTTTTCCCACACAACCACCTCCCAGCTTCAGCAGCTCCGAGTTCTCCGATCTTTCATCTGCAAAATCACCTCAAAAACACTTACTACTGGCCAGCACAGACATCTGTGGATTCACCAGATTCTGCCTCGAGAAACCCAACTGCATAACCTGGGGCTGCATCACAATTTGGGAGTACCAGGTTCAGTACACCACTTGTGCCACACCGATACCCAACTCCCAGGTGTGAGCACTGCACTGAAATAAGCGTTCCCTGGGCTAGAAATTACCCTGAAAAATTACACACCAAGAAAGATGCAGCTTCCAAATAACTACAAAAGCATCTTTTGCTCAGAAAAATTTCATTTAATTGAAACAAGACTTTGCTTTTGCTCTGCTGGAAACCATTCCAGGCTGTTTAGTAGCAGCTCGAACCCAGCTCCTGGCACTGCAGCTGAAGTACCTGCTGGATCTTAGGGGCATGGCCCGTGCTTCCTCGCCTCCCCACACCAACCCACAGCTGCAAGGAAGTGTGACTGGCATTGAAAGAGTATTTTTAAGGAAGTGCAGTAGGTCTAGCAAGACCGACATCGCTGGCACAAACAGATTCCTGTCACAAGGGGGATTTCAGGCATCAAAAAGCTGGAACGAGTCTGCGAACATGTGTGTTTACCTTTATAGAGGATGCCCTGACATTTTTATGGACTGCCAAATCTATCCCACAGGTGAAAAAGGATGCAGTAACGAGAACTATTTAGTTATACAGTCACCATTAGCCACCATTTAAAGGAGGTATTAGAGGTGTCCTGTGCCAGGGCCCGGTTAAGGACGGATCGGTGGTTCCGGTGTAAAACTTTGTTCTCATCGGTTCACAGCCCATGTACAAAAGTTCACTTGGAGCTGGAAACGGGAACAAGTTCCTCTGTAGAAAGAGATTTGGAAACCAGATTTGCTCTTTTCTCCCAATTTTCCTTTTGCTTGACTGCTGCTTCCTAGTACCAATTTGTGTTCTATGCAAAAGGAAAAGATAGGATGCGGTTCTCCCTTTTGAAAGAGCATAGGACCTGGTGCCAAACTGGTTTTACTAATTCTTTTAGCAAAGCAGGTAAGATCACAGCAGCTAACAACTCAATATAAAACAGGAGCAAGTTCACCAGCTATCAGCCTCCCAAATAAAGAGCTTGTGTAGAAACAGCAACGCTGCATCCCAGGACCTAACTTACATGAGGGTTTCATGATACAAAACCCACAAATCTGCACATTGCATGCTGGACATTTGATCTCTTTGCTATATATTTTAAACAGGAGGACCACAGGAGGTGTGAAAACTAAACATAGCATCTAGCTCGAAGCTAGCACAAGCCAAGCAAACCAAGGGGGTACACCCACAAATCCGGGAAGGAGAGCCGACCTCGCTCTTCCTCACAGCCACGATTCATCACACTTGGGCTGCTGGGGTGAAAAGCAACTTGTGCACAGCCTCTCCTCTGATGCCACAGCTCCTCACGCTGAAGTAGGAAACACTGTCCTATAAACAGGGACTGGCAGGGAGCTCCGAACACAGGTCACTCACGTGCGTGGCACCGCTGCAAGACACACAGTGACAGAAGCCAGAAATTCTGTCCTGAGAGGCCAAACCTACAGATCCTGCCCACTTGCCTCAGAGGCTTGCAGATTTGGGCCCACCTGCCCAAATCATAGCTTAATGATTGTCGAGTTCCTGAAAAATACCAGGATGCTACTGCTTGCATTGCATTTACAGGGGTGCACCAAAAAAACCCCAAAACCAAACAGAAGAAACACACAGAAGGAAAAAACAAAAGTCTCCTGACTGAATATTTGTAAAGCTCTTGTTGCAAGGAACCCCTGGTGCTCAGAGGGGCCAGCGTTTGGCCTGGGCTGGTTTCTGCAGGCTGATGGGAGCCGCTGAGGCGCTGCTTTCCCCGTGCCTGCTCTGCTTCCCCTGTTTGCGTGGGCACCACAACAAAGGAAAGACAGGCCTTGGGAAAGGGAGGAGAACATAGTTCTAAAACCACAAGAATTGGCCTAGGGGCAGGTGTAATACCTGAAATTACTTGAACTTCAGTCAATAAAAAAGAGTTTAAAGTAATTTCTGACTGTATAGCTTTACTATAACACCATTAGGAGGGCCTTCCAATTAAAGTCAGGACTCATTTGCAAGCCGTGCTCCTTAAGTGATGCTAGGACTAAAAATGCTTTCAGAACTAAACCTAATCTGCATTTGAGGCTTTTATCTTGCCGCTCTCTTTTATTTTTTCATGCTGTATCTGACCTCCAAACCCTGAGCCTGGGCAGCCACCAGCACACCTCTGGAAGCAGTGCTGAGGGTAAGCAGATTTCTGCTCAGTTCTCTTTCTGGAGGAGAGAGCAGCCGTGCACAGACACGGATGCATGGGCAGGAGCACAGCTTCAGAATTCCCTTACCAGAGCTGCCCGTGTGTTCCATTGTGGCTCACAGATCACCTGACCTTTGACAGGTCACCTATGTGCCTTTGAGAGCCACAAGGGATGGAAAACCGCTCACTCCTGTGGCACCCACAGGTAAAGAACTGAAAAAGGCCTGTCCAAAGCAATACAAGGACTACCAGTCATCCCAGAAATGTCCTGCAACAGTGAGAAGAGCTGCCACAGAAATCAGGGGCTGAACATCCCTCAACTCAGATACAGAGAAACAAATTACCACAGTTAAGTCCATCAGAGATAACAGTGCTAAAGTGTAACTGAACACTCTGAGAAAGATGTATGTACATCCTTACTGCACTCCTCATGGATTTCAGGACTGGGGTTTCTTTTCAGCTTTGTCACAGGCAAGGTCCCTTTTCCTGAGCTATTCAAACTGTACAATTATGCTCCCAGATAATTTAGCAACATTAACTGCAAACAAATTTACCTGAATGATCGCATGAACATTCATCAAAATCAATGGCCAAAACCCCCAGCCCAAACAAGCCTGATTGTGAATTCTGGTGCATGAGAGGTTTCAGGGCAGCGTGCGATGGAGGCTTTAAAGAGCTGCCACACGAGGCTGAAGCTCTGGTCCCATCCCCTCAGAGAACTGAGCGGCAGAAAGAGAAACTTGCTTTTCACAGGAATGAGGATGCTTGCTTTGATTAATCAGCCATGCTGGGTTTTGCTGGCTGTTGGTGACAGGGCTGCAGCTGCCACGTGCGACACCACTGCTTTTTGACCAGAAACAGGGATGAGTTTCAACAAATCCTACGAGATTTTGGTCTCATCACACAACGCTCCAGACTCTCAACAATTTGTCTGCTGGGTTACCTGGGAGATTTGGGAAAGGCCTTTCCCATGTGCTGCAGAAGAACCAGAAGCCCCTGCAGAGGAAAAGCAAGGACAGAAAGGTTTCACAGCTACCTTTGAGAGCTCAGAAAATCTGTGCTTCAGAAGAGTTTCTCTCCTGAAAATGTCAGACTAAACTGCAAAGTTAAACTGCAAATGAAACCACTGAAAATTTGCTTCAAGACCTCTTGCTGTGGATGGAGGAG